GGAACTATGAATGTTGTGTATTTTAAATTGTTGTTTGTCTATTTGTCTATTTATCCCCTTCCTTTGTTTATTGTAAGCCGCCCAAAGTCCTTCGGAAGTGGGCGGCATACAAGACCAATAAAATACAAAAAATACAAATACAAATAGACTGCTAGGAAATGTGAGGCCTGTAGGTTGAGAAAATGAAAAAGGTAACTTTGAAGAAAGTAATAGAAAACCACTTTTATAATGTGACTAAGAAACTCCTCTGGATGTGTTCATAAAATCATCATGAGTTGAGCTCAGAAAATCAACTCAACTCATCATGATTTTCTTTTTGCATAATAGTTCAGCTCCTTTAATATTTTGCTAAGACAATGTTCTTAAATCTATTGTCCAAATGGGGAAGAATTCACACTCAGCTCTCCCAAAACTAGACTTCCTCCTATTGCACACCAGAAGTCCTGAATTTATCTGCAATATTTATCTCCTTTTAGAGTGAACTGATTTAAGCTGACAAAATCTTTTCTAACAAAAGCACTTCTGTTATCTGCGGAATAGCTGAAAGCCTTCATGCGCTACATATATTCTAGGCCTAACTCATGAAACAAGAGAACAAATCTTTTTTAGGCATTTATCCACGAATCCAGCTATCTGATCTCTGTCTCATGAAAGCAATAAAGGGATAACTCTTTAAGATCACATTAATATCTGATAACAAGGAACATGGCATTTCTCTTAAATAAGCAAAAGAAAACAGGCTGTCTAAACAAACCTTTTGAAAAACCTACCTTGATATCTTGTTGGAGCTTCTGGAATTCATTGCAAATAATTCTTGCTGTTGTAGGACTACAGGTGACTCCCTTGTTCTTGCCTTTAAATAAGGGAGCTTGAAAAGACCCTAATTGGCTATTTATCTTTTGAATCTGAATAAGATGCTTAACTGTGGATTATCCATTATGTAAAAACCATCATCTGTAATCTTTGTACTCAGACTGTACATCTTCAATTATCAATCCACACATCTTTTACATAACAGAAGAAACCAAACCAACCCCAAAATATCTAGAACCAAAAACCTCTGTCATTTCAGCATTGTGACATATACAGTCAGTTAAATGTGCAGAAGTCAATTTTAAAACTGCACCACAAGATCTGTGTTAGGTCAAACATATTGTTCCAGCTAAGCCCAGGCCCACTTAGCTTTTGCAAAATATTTAGTACCAATGAGACTTTCATAACATTTTAATCCCTTCTTGCCAAAAGCAATGCAAAAGCTCTTTGCTCACACACATCCTACTGGCCAAGGACTAATAAATCAAGAGGGTCTTATCTGTCTCTTCATTATAGTTTTATTTTCTACATTTTTTGCTTCTCTTTTGAGCCTTTGCCTCTCTATTCTTTTTTCTTTTAATTTGCATTAGATTTTACTACTCTAATTAAGATCCTGAATAAATGTTATATCTTTTTATTATAATGAATACAGGTAGTCCTCAACGTATGACCACAATTGAGCCCAAAATTTATGTTGCTAAGTGAGAAATTTGTTGAGTGAATTTTTCCCCATTTTACGACTTTCCTTTTCACATTTGTTAATGTGCACTGCACATTGACTCACTGCAGTTGTTAAGTTAGTAACGTAGTTGTTAAGTGAATCTGGTTTCCCCATTGACTTTGCTTGTCAGAAAGTTGTAAAAGGTGATCACATGATCCTGGGACCAGAGGTGGTGTTCAGCCGGTTTGGACCGGTTCAGGTGAACCGGTCATGGCGACCTGCTCCCCCAGCTCTATGCCGTCCTATTTAACCACATGTTCTGAGCCATGTGCATGTGTGCAAGCCATGTGTGCAAGCAAATCGCATGCATGGAAGGCCACACACTCATGAAGCGAGTGCACGCAGGCCGAACCGGTGCTAAGCTTATATGAAACCCACCCCTGCCTTGGACACTGCAACCTTCATAAATGTGAGTCAGTTGTGAAGCATCCAAATGTAAATCATGTGACCATGGGGATGCCGCCATATTTATAAGTGTGGGAAATTGTCATAAGTCACTTTTTTCAATGCTGTTGTAACTTCAAACAGTCACTGAGTGAACGGTTGTAAGTTGAGGACTACCTGTATAAGAAATTCATTACAATCCATTTATCTCTGAGAATAGATTATCATTTATAGCTGCTGGGATTTATTGTTATTGTAGCCCAAATCTAACAGGAACCATAAAGACATTAAAAAACCAGGTTTATCAATGGGTATTCACTTCAATGATACTTCTTTATAATTGATTATCTTTAGTTAATTATAGAAGTGCAATAAATGTCTCCTTATTCTATTCTCCAAAGCTGTTGGAGAAAGGAGATTCAGACATGCTCTTTTTGCAAGAGCCGAGGTGGCGCAGTGATTAGGGTGCAGTACTGCAACCCACTTCAGCTGACTGTTATCTGCAGTTCAGCGGTTCTAATCTCACCGGCTCAAGGTTGACTCAGCCTTCCATCCTTCCGAGATGGGTGAAATGAGGACCCAGACTGTGGGGGCGATATGCTGATTCTGAAAACCGCTTAGAGAGGGCTGAAAGCCCTATGAAGCGGTATATAAGTCTAACTGCTATTGCTATGTTTTTTAAAAAACTAGCCGACGTTGCCAGGGTATTTATTTATAGGGGGGAAATGACTGGACTAAATTAATTTCTAATGTTCGATTTTCCTCCTTAGCAGAGGGAGCCCCCTGTGGAGTATTGTGAAGCCATTACAATGGCAATTCCATTGCGCTGCACAGTAGAAGCCATTTTACAGCAGTACAGTAAAAGTCATTTTAAGGCACAAAAGGCTGTATCTTAACAGAACACACACTCCGAGGGGTTTTAGGAGTATCTTACCGCCACAATATTTGTTTCCAGAGGGTAAGTCATCTGTTTACCAAGTTTGGTTGAAATTGCTCAAGGTGTGTGTATGCTGGAACATATACACACACATAGTCAGTTTTATATATATAGAAGATTATCCTGGCAACATAATTCTTCCTCTTTCAAATTCTGTGCCATACCTA